AAAAACAAAAAAATTACAATATTTGTTAACTTGGCAATTTCACTTGGTTTACCTCAACTATTACTCTCCAAATAATGTCTTCCCTGTTTTTTTAATATGTATATATATGGTTCAGAACCTATTTTTAAATTACTACTATAGTTGTCACATAATGAGGAGAAATAAAAAAATGATTAGTAACATGGTTTCAGTACCTCTTTAATCGTCTGAAATATTTAGGAAATCCCACTATTGTCTTTATAAACAATGAAAAACTTAAGCTCAGACAGAGTGTTTCTAGAATACAAGATTGCCAACTCTCAGCAGGGGAAGGAAGACCTAATAAAAAAGCAAGAGATGCATTAGTCATGTTATAGGGGTCGATAGGAACATGTTATTCACAGCATCAAATGTGAAACAAATGATGCATTTCTAATTACACTAATTGATTAAAATGACTTCTAAGAAAAATTTTAGTTATATTTTCTTGACAAGGGAATTTTAATGTAATTAAATATATTCTGGAATATTAATGAAACTTTAAGGGTTACATTATCAAATACTCTGTATTAACAAACAGATCATGCACTCTCCCCTTAGCCATAAAGTTTTCAAACTTCCTTCACCAAGGAGATTCATTTGTTTTCCTGGCTTGGTACTGCTGATTAATTTTGCTAAGTTTCAGTCATTTTAGTTAATTTATTAGTTCTGGGTTTTTTTTTTAATAAAGCCTTATTGAAATATTGGCATATACCTCAAAAAGGTTATACCAAGTCTGTGGCCTATCTACTTTTTACTTATTGAAAATCATGATTTATAATGTATTAAGCTTGTGCTTTATTATATTATATTTTGAATAATATTGCAAAATTAATATGTTTTGCATAATTTGTAAAAAGGAAGAAGGGGGATTGTGAGAGGGTCGTATGATTGTCTTTGAATTGTACCTATGAAATAACATGAAATCTGTTCTCTTTCTATGATGACAATTTTAAAATACAAGATGTATCAGTTCTTAACTTTAATGTGTTAATTCTTGTACATTTTTTAATAAGGTGCTTCAAAAAGTTCATCAAGATGGTATTAAATGTTTATTTTTGTGCAAAATTTTTGACATCCATGTGGTTTTAGAAAACTCTCATTTTCCATGAACTTTTTGAAGACCCCTGTATGCTGCTTCAGCTCCCAGTCAGTTATGACACCAATGCACTATGTTGCAGAGCTGTGATGTTCAGCAAGCCAGGTGTATCAAACACATTTTCAACTGAACAGCATTTTCAGTGTATTGTGATTTTATTGAGACATAAAATCTTCTGAACTAAAGGAGCATCTGAATTTAGATATGTAAGATCTTGTTTGAAATTTTTGCATCTTTGGGCCTGTTATGATGTTTTGGTGGCTAAATCCTTGGTTTGCATGTGTTGGGTCTCCATATTGGCACTGGTTCATCCCAGCTGTTCCACTTCCCATCCAGCTCCCTGCTTGTGTCCTGGGAAAACAGTAGAGGATGGCTCAAAGTCTTGGGACCCTGCAGTCAGGTGGGAGACCTGGAAAAGCTCCCTGGCTTCAGATCAGCTTAGCTCTGGCCCATTGTAGTTACTTAGGAATTGAACCAATGGACAGAAGATCTTTCCCTCTGTCTCTCTTCTCTGTAAATCTGTCTTTGAAATAAAAATAAATAAATCTTTTTAAAAAAGAGAGAACTGTTGCATCTTTATGAGTAAAAGTGACCTACAGTTTTCCTTTTTGTGCTCTCTTGAAGAAATACTAAAAGCTAGCTCCTAATATATTATCAACTCTGCCTTTTGAGACACAGCTATAATCTGGTGAGACCGCTGCCTTATAGCAATAAGGAAACACTACATATACAAAAGTTAATAGTGTCCCAGAAGACAGGGAGGATAGGTCAGAATTTATTGAACAGGAAGTTTGGTTTGAGGCAAGTCTTTCTAAATGAATGCACCTGATTAGGACTGGATAAATTTTGAGATACCTTAGTTATGGGTTGGTGGAAACACAAGGAAGGCCACAACAGTTCCTAGCATATAAGCTGACTGTTGATATTTACCACTGAAGATTTGCAGAGTCCTCCAGGAAATCTCTGTAATAAAGAATCAGAAAGCTATTTGCCTGGGAATGTCATTCCCTGGAGAAAAAAAGGTCATGCTAATGAAAACAAAGGGAAAGCACCAAAGTCCTGTAACCAGTGACAATAAGAATTGGTTGATGGTGTCCAACTGAATGTGAGAGTAGTCAGTTACTTTTCATGAACTTTATTATCAAGATTAAGCTGTATTCATCACATGAGTTGTAGAGCATTTCTTCAACTTTCACATTATGATGTATCTTGTATAAAATTAAAATTACGTGGTATTTAAAAGTATTTGCCTTTTAAAACTCGCCTACACTTATGTTTTCTGTGTATGAAGATATTTAGGATTGATTTAATATTCATATATTTTATTTTAAAAAAAAGACTTTAATTTTTTTAGACAAGTTTTAAGGTTACAGCAAAATTGGTTGGAAAATTCAGAAAGCTCCTGAACCTGCCCACACTTGTACTACCAGCATCCTATCCCAGAGTAGTGATACATCCCAGAGTTGGTGAACCTATACTGTCAAATTATTACCATCCAGAGTCTGTAGTTTGCTTTAATGCTTGATTTTGATGTTATACATTCTATGTATTGAAATGGACAGTGGCACATATCCATAATTATACAGTCATTCATAATGCCTCTGTTCTGTTTATTCATCCCTCCTTTCCTCTTCTCTTACCCATGACAATCACTATTTTTTAATGTTTACATAATTTTGCCTTTTCCATATGTTATATAGATGGAATCATACAGCATTTAGCCTTCTTTGTTAGTAAGATACATTTTAAGTTCCCTTCACATGTTTTTATGATTTGATAGTTCATTTCTTTTTATTGCTAATATTCCATTGTCTGGGCACAGTGCAGTGTATCCACCCATTCACCCAGGGAAGCATTTCTTGGTTACTGCCATTAACTTGCTGAAATGTGTCCTGGTTGTTTTAAGCTTTGGCAGTTGTGACGAAACCCAATATAAACACTCAGGTGCAAGGCTTTCTGTAGATATAACCTCTCAAGTTGAGTCAGGTCAATACCCAGGGGTGAGATTCTGTTCAGATGTTTCCATTTATTTGTTTGTTTACTTATTTATTTATTCATGAGGCATAAAAATAGATACTTACATAGAATAAAAAGAAAGAAAAAATAAAAAGCACTCCTGTTTCACTTCCCAAATGTCCTGAAGGGGTTACACAGGGTCAGGCTGAAACTAGTAGCCAGGACACAGGGTCTCTCAAAGAAGAGTCACTTGAGCCATTTTACCTGCTGTCTCCCAGTGCTGGAATCTGACTTGAACTCAGTTACCCTAATAGGGAATGTGAGTTTCTTAAGTAATGTGTTAACCACTCAACTGACTTAATGTGTTCTAGGTATATGTTGTTGTAAACATACAAACTAAGAAAAAGAAACAGGTATGTGGTTGCTTAGGAAATCTGCAAGTTTAGAATATGAGGCTAATTTGGGAGCTTCTAGTGTTTCCTGATAAAGTCTATGGAAAGAAATTTCAACTCATAAAGCCTCAGAAGTATGGCTTTTTTAATAAAGAGAGCATTCCTTTGCAAGTAAACTGTAACTTACATGAAACAAGCTTGATATTAAGTTAATGAGACACTTTGAAAGACTGAATCACTGTGTTTCATGCTTCATGTTCTTTATACCATTGTCTTTACCAGTCATCCATGCTCTTTACCATTGTCTCACTTGTTGTTATCAAGCATGGTGGTAAGACTTGTTTTGGTCAGCAGAATGTGAGTGAAAGAGGCATGCCTTGACAGACATTCTTGTTTCTCTCACGCTTGTGAGTCCCTACCAGTCATTGAACAAGGAAGATGAAGGATGCAGAGAGCAGGCTTTATGCAGACTTACAACCTGAGGTAGAATTGCCCAGCTATTTGTTTCTTGGAGAGACCTTGACTTGTGAATAACATGAAGTAGACTCCTAAAACATATTTTTATTGCATTTTATATTAGCAAGAAGGTTTTTTTTTCTTTTGCCTACAGAAGTAATCATTTCTCTGACTCTGCCTCCCGCCTCCTCCAGCCATTGTGTGTTCCTAGAAAAAAGAAATTCTTCCTTACAAACAAACCGAGTTACCAGAACCACATCTCAAGTTCTAGGTAAAAGTCCAGGGAAGACTGGTAATCAGAAGCAGCAGCTATCCAGATATTAGAATCAGCTGGAAGGGCCCAGAGTGGTAGCCTAGCGGCTAAAGTCCTTGTCTTACATGTGCCAGGATCTCATATGGGCACCAGCAGCTTCACTTCCCATCCAGCTCCCTGCTTGTGGCCTGGGAAAACAGTTGAGGACAGCCCAATGCTTTGGGACCCTGCACCCGTGTGGGAGACCCAGAAGAGGCTCTGGGTTCCTGGGTTCGGATCGGTACAGCACCGGCCATTGCAGTCACTTGGCGAATGAATCAGCAGATGGAAGATCTTCCTCTCTGTCTATCTGACTTTCAATAACAACAACAACAACAAAGAATCAGCTGGTAATAATCTATCTTCATTTGGTCTGCCCTATTCAGAATGGCCTTAGTCTTCTCTTCAACAGAACTGATATTGGGTTATACTACTGATTGTCTCCATTATTTCAAATTTTGACAAGTGGAGTTTCGGTCCTAAATATCTTAAACATCTGGCATTGTCGGGAGAAGAAGGACTTTGACTTTGAAACTAATGGAATCAAAAGATCTATGCTCTGAAGCGAACTTGCAAATTACAACCTCATGTTTGGAGGGAAAGTGTTTAAGAAAGAAAAGCCATTAGGCTTGGAATAAAAGACACAAACTTGAATGTGAGCTCTTCCATGGGCAGTAAGGGTGATAAATACTGCTTTCCTCAAATCATTGTGAAGATTCTATGAGAAAACTAATGAATTCAAGTTGAGCACAAAGCATGGCACCTTGAATAGCCAGACACCTCTAGAAAGAGGATTGAACCTGTCTGAATTCAGCTTCTCATTTCCAGTCAAGGTCCAGCAAAATCAGTTGTAACAGAAAAGTTCCTGTCTGTCCACAGCTTTATTAAGTTGTGTTTGATGATTCAAACGACAGGGACCTTGCACTTCTAGTTGGTGACAGTTTTTCCTCTCCTATCTGCTAAATAGTCAGTGCCCGGATCCAAAGAGGGACACAGTGTGGGGCAAGGGTAGAATATACATCATCATTCAATTCTTCCCAACAGCTAACTTGCAGTGGTCCTTAAATGAATGTTTTCATGTTTCCTTAATAATGCCCACAGTCGCTACTTCTCCCACAAAAATATCCCATGGAGTAAGTAAAGTCCATCCAGACAACACTTTCAGATTGGATATCATGCTGGGAAAAGCACACCGCTCCACACTGATAACTTCTCTGTCACCAAACTTAACCCTGGGACAGTGAGATGTGTCATGGCTTTAAAATCAATGTGTCATCTTTGTTATCAAACAAAACTATTAGTCAAAAGGTTTGAGGTTTCAGCCTAGCTGGGGCCAACAGCCTCTTCTCACAGCCAGAACACTGTAAATGTGCTAAATGTCACTGAGTTGTAGTGAATTGAATGTTAAAATGGTGAGTTTTACATTATGTGCTTTCCCCATAACAAAAATATGACCCTGAATAGATATACTGGAGAATGTATTTTTCTGTCCCTGAGTTGTAATTGTTTTTCTTCCTGACATGTATATACCTACTATGCAGTGTACCTTGATACCTGAATGCCTATAGGTGTGTCTACTTTTTAAAGAAAAATCTCTGGTCTGAGTGTTCTACTCTGTAGCATTTTGGCATCACCCAGGAATGTGATTTATTCACATCCCTGTCTCAGATTGGTATGAGGATTGTATTAACTGCACAAACACATAAATTTTCTTGCAAAACTCTTTGGCTTCAGCACAGATTTTGCCTACTCTAGAAAACTGCCCTACCCAAAGGGCAGGCTGGGAATGGGATTTGTGTCTGGCCTCTCCAAGGGCATTGTACAGCTTTGTTAAACAGAAAGCAGGAAAGAAAAGGGGATTCTTAACAGTACAATGGAACCAGAACTGGGATTCTTCTCTTAACATTCAACTTTGAGGCATGGCATTCAGGACTCTCAGTTCTTCCTGAGAAAGTCAATATCATTTTTGTTTTTGTTTTTTATAAACCAAAGATCATGAAATACAGCAGGTCACACCTCCACAAGCACAAAGTGGAAAAAAAGAAAGGTAATAACTGGGAGAAGAGGCTCACAAAAAGGAAGTGTTGGCCAAGCAGTCGTAGAGGCAGAGAGCAGTGGATGCCTCCAAGGAAAGGCTTCCACAAAACCCTGGGATGCATCATGCTTGTCAGGACCAGCTCTGGTGAGCAGGACTGACCTTGTATACCACACAGGGGAGGGAAATGCTCCCTGGGCAAGTTTTTTTTTCCCCACTTCATCCACCAGGTTTCAACTGCTTCTGTTATATCATTTCCTTCCAGAAGGACGAAGGCTTGTGAAAGATAAACAGTGCTGTGACGATCACTGCAACCAGGATCAAGGAGAAGAGAACCATGAGGAAGACGTAGGTGGAATGTGAGAAAGGCTTGGAAACTGGGTACTCAGCTGGGATCATGTTGGTTAGGTTCAGCATGTAGCCCAAAGTCCATCCAGCATCACTGTCATCAATCTGCAAAGAGACGGGAAAGTCTGCTATTTGTGGGCCATGGAGATTTTTTCACACAAACCTGTACTTAACATGGGGTAACCAGCAAGAAGATGGCACTACATTCAGTTCTCTAAATGGACTGTATTTTATTCTAAACTAGGAATGGGGTTGTGGGACAAAATAGATCAAGTGATTTTCTAAGAATGAGACGTCCCCTCCTCCGCATTCCCAAAATTAAGAAAAGAATTTGGTGACTGATTCCCCACATAGAAGAATTTAGTTCCGAGAGATCTTTCAGTTTGCATTCTTGTTTTCTTGTTTGTATAAATCTGGAGATGGGGAAGAGGAATAGAGCGTATAGTGATGGGAGGCCCGCAAAAAGATGAAGGAATAAAAATTGTATGATAAATACGGATATTCTCTGGATTATTATAGCCTTTTACTCCAATTCATATGTGTTGAAGTCACCACATTTAAAAAGGGGAATAGTTTTTTTGTTGTTGTTGTTTTTGCCATTAGTGGACATGGGTTTGAAAAGGTAGAGGAAATACTGCTGTTGATATGTTTAATCAAGTGCAAGTCACGCAGCTCATAAAAATGTTTCTGTTTTCATGGCTACCTGCAGGTGGTGCTATGAACCAGTGAGGCTGCTTCAGGGCTCCTCATCTAAGCCTCTTTCAAGGCCACTTGGTCACCTGCTTCACACAGAGCTTTCAAGCTGGTCAACCTTGCAGCAACAACCAACAAAGCTCTGCCCCATGACAAGAAACAATTATTAAATCATATTGTTGAATCACTGTGTCTACTAAAATACTATAAACTTTTATAAAGAATTAGTCACTGTTCTATAGTAGAAATGCACAATTGTAAGTATAGTTTCCCCTCTTAAGAGGATGCCTACAGCTGGTCAGCATACTCAGGGGGATTGCCACAGAATGCTAGGTTGAGTTAATGATGAACAGTAAAACAGAACATCAGGCCAAAACTTCAGTCAGGTTGCCTCTCATCTCTTTCAAACCTTTCATCATACTTCCCTCAACCCAACAAGTACCAAAAGTTTACCTTGCCCATGAAATGAATGTTCTTCCAGGAACTGGCTGTGAAATTATAGCCTTGCAGAAGGAGGGACAAGATATAGACGCCAGAAAAGCAGTATTCACTCAGGTATTTTGCCTTTACTCCATCAAAAGATATCTTTATCTGGAAGTGAAATGAAGGAAATCTCATACTTGTGCAACAGGTGCCTCTCCACAGCTCTGTGTTCCCGTAGGCCCTGATAAAAGGAGAAAGCCCCCACCCCACCCCCTCCCGGGCGCACAAGGACCTCTGGGCTGGCCTCACCCAGAGGGCTTGGAGAGTGGGTGTCACTCTCCCTTTGGCTGCAGGGTATACAGTGTAGGGTCTCTTTGGGTAGCTTTTCTCTCTAGGGTTTTGAGTTGTTGATCAGTACTTCAAGAAGGGGAAAAAAAGAGTCCCTGTGGGCTAATAGTTTAGAAGTACCAGATTTTTCATTCCCATTTCTATCCTCTAAGCTTGGAATTTCACAGTCACATATTAAAGTCCATGAAAATGTTTACATAGCATCACCAAAGCCTCGGCCCCTCCACTGAATCCCTGGACTGGCAACACCATCATCCCTAGGCGCTTGTGAGCTCTCATCCAGGAACTACCAACTTAGAATCTGCACTTTCATATGTGAGACTCACACATAGTAAAATTATGGTCACACCTCTAGGACACAGTTAGGCACTTAACTGCTAAAATGTCAACATCTCACCTATTTTCTGCCTTTACTTGACCTCCTCTTTTTTAATGCATATGAGTTACACTAAATGTTGAGTCCCTCATGTGTTTGCACATCTTATTTTGTACTGAAGATATCAAAAGCCGCCTATCACTCCTTGCCCTTACCTGTCTTTGTTGATTGTCATTGTATACCCAGATGACTACAATCTGCCCTGCTTGCTGATCCTGCCCTTCTTCAGAGAAAAACAGGACAGAGCATGTCTAGTTCAGTCCAGAGTTAGCTGCTGCTCTATTCCTTTGCTTCTGAGAAAGACATTTCTTTCCATTTCTTTTTTGGAGCCCAGTGCAGTAGCCTAGTGGTTAAAGTCCTCACCTTGCATGCACTGGGGATCTCATATGGGTGCCAGTTTGTATCCTGGCTGCTTTGCCTCCCTTTCGGCTCCCTCCTGTGGCCTGGTGAGGATGGCCCATAGCCTTAGGCCCCTGCACCCATGTGAGAGACCTGGAAGAAACTTCTGGCTCCTGGCTTCAGATCGGCTCCACTCTGGCCATTGCAGCTACTTGGAGAGTGAACCAGAGGGAGGAAGATCTTTCTGTTTCTCCTTCTCTCTGTAAATCTAACTTCCCAATAAAAAACAAATAATTTTAAAAAACACATTTTCTTCTTTCTAATTTATAGAAACATATCTTGGGCTTGTACAATGAAGAAAGGTTTACCACAATCGTGTCTGTGCCAGTTACTGTTAATTACTTACCTTCCTTGTCAGTAGAATTCTCATTAAAGAACTGCCTGTAGGGGAGTGGGTGTATAGTCCATGAAGTATGTTTACGAGGTTCTAAGCCAATCATAAAATTCTGTATTTTTTCTTTCCCAGTCAATTCCGGCCAATGAAATTAAAGTAAAGACTGCTGAGGGGTTTCTAGGACAGCTTTTCTTACAGAAAGGCTTAGATGTCCCGGTCCTACCGCTCTTCTGACCTTGAACATGGAAGCATGCCTAAAGACATAGCAATCACCCTGTGTTCATGTGCAAATAGTCATAACAATGGAACTGAGGCAGCAGTGGTTGAGACAAAGCTGAACTGCTGACCGGCTACCTGCTGTTACACTTCATACTAGGTGGGAAAAGTAAGACCTTATTTATGCTGCTTTATGCCAAGCCATCAAGGAATGCTTCCAAATTCATTTCTTATGTCAAATATCTGGACTTGTGTAACGCATTTGCTGGATCTTCATCAAACCAGCATGAACTGATGAACAGACTCTTACTTTTCATGATAGCTGCTATATACAGCCTCTTACCTCATCCCATGGTGTAGAGCAGAAACTTTCCATTTTCTGCTTCACATTTTCCAAAGAGGATTTTGATGTCAAGTTTAAAAAATTCATCACAAAGTAAAAAGCTGAAAATGCCTATAAGAAAGAATTAAAGTTTCAAGTTATGTTGAACAAAGTAGTATTCCCTGCTCTCCTACAGGCCACACCCTGGTGCAGGTACCTGGAAATCAGATATTTCAGACTGTAAGCCTGTTTTCTTCCTGGAAAATAAGTCATTACTACTGACATACATTTCTAAGCCATTTGGCAGTTACCTGTCTCAGTTACACTGTGAGAGTAAGACAGTAATAGAGTTGATGGGTAGGTTATAATACCATTTTTTAAACCATATGTTATATACTAACTTTTAAAAAAATGAAGAAATTTTATACAAAAGTATTAAGAGTTATCTATTCTTCCACTACCCCCAGTAGAAATGGGCTTACTGCACATCATGGCAGGCCTACTTTGGAGGTGTATTTTACCAGGTCTCCCCCATGTGAGGCAGGGACCCAGCTACTTGAGCCATGATCTGCTACATCCAAGAGTGTTTATCAGGACAAAGCTGGAATCAGAAGCAGAGATAGTACTTGAACCCAGGCACTCTGGTTTCCCAAGTGAGTCTTATTTACTAAGTCAAATTCCTGCAACCCTATTTCTTGCTTTTTTAATATACATTTTTATTTGTTTGAAGGCAGAGTTACAGTGAAGGGGAGAAACAGACAGAGTCTTCCATCTCCTGGTTCACTCCCTAGATGGCCATAATGACTGGGGCTGGGCCAGGCTAAAGCCAGGATCCAGGAGCTTCTTCAGGTTTCCCACATGGGTGCAGGGGCCCAAGCATTTGGGTCATCTTCTACTTCTGTCCCAGACACATTAGCAGGGATCTGGATGGGAAGTGGAGTAACCAGGACTGGAACCAGTACCAAATGGATATTGGCCCTGCAAGTAGTGGCTTAACGCACTATGCTGCAGTATCAGCCCATTTGCTTTTCTTACTCAACAGTTTGTTGCAAAAATCTCTCAAAGTCTACTGGGGACCTGGTACAGAGCAATGTTAATTCATTCGGGATATTCTCTTGATTTCCAGGATTTTCCCTTTGAGCAATGTTGAGTTTCTGAAGCCCTTTGTAAATCCTAGATATTAGTTCCTATCGGTTGTGTAATGTGCAGATTTTCTCCCATTATGATGGTTGTTTTTTCGAATTTTTTTTTTGATTGTTCCCTTTGCTGTACAGAAGCTTCTTAGGTTTGATGCAGTCCCATTTATTTATTTTGGCTTTGACTGTCAATGCTTTTGCTGACATTCATAACAAGCTTTGCCAATGCCTATATCCTGTAAAGTGTTTCTAATCGTTTGATGGTTTCCGGGTACAATTTTAGGTCCTTGATCCACTTAGAGCTGATTTTTGTGTAAGGTGATGGGTGGGGCTTCTTACTTCTGTAGGCTGCTATCCAATTGTGCCAAAAGAATTTGTTGAAAAGACCAACCATTTTCCCTGATTATTTTCAGTTCTTTTGTCAAAAATCAGTTGGTTGTGCATGTGTGGGCTCCCTTCTGGAGTTCAGAGAAATCCATGAATTAAATCTGGCCTGATTACTGACAGGTCTGTGCTGTCTCTACAGTGACAGAGTTTGCAAGAACTCTTGCAGGGATCATTGAAGAGAAATTTAACCTCATTCCATACTTACTGACCTATTTTCTGAAAAAGGAGGAAGACTATGAAGGGTAATTGGTATATGACAAATTTCATAGAAAATGTAGTCAAGATATCATTTTAGAGTAAAAGAACTTAGTTTTATGAAGAATATTTTAAATGTTAGTGGAACTTTGTATTATGAATAAACTATATATGGATATCAAAACTTTTTTGCACAAAATTAATTTTTGTTTTAATTACATTTTCCCATGAATTTTTGGAAATAGCCTTGATTGTTAGTCAATAACTGGTACTTGGCAGATTGCTCAATTTTGCAAAACACTGTAAAATTATGACTGTAATAATGCTTGGTCTCCAGATAAAAAATTTGAAATTTGAGTCATGAGACAATCTCTTTTGCTTTTGGTCAGATTTTTAAATTTATTCTTGAGTAATAAAAAAGGGAAAGGGTGCCTACTCCAAATCCCAGCGAAAAGGAAGCAATGTACCTAGGAAAGACTCCCCAGAAGGTGACTAATAATCAGTCAAAATCAGCCACATTAACCCATTTCCCATTATCATGGGCTGGTTTGGAGATGTACATTTAAGCAAATTCTGGGCGACAGGATTTGAAAAGATGTCATTTGGCACTTCTGCAAAATGGGAGAGATGCAATGCAGAAAAACCTCTGTGTTGTTTTTTTCCTGCTTTCATTTTGCATGTGGAGATTATACTTGAATCAGTAGCTGCTAGAGGAGCACCGTGAAAAGGGAGAGAAAACAATAGAGAAGTTGATCTCAAATCATGACATTGTTTAGACAAAGAAATAACTCTGAATTATTTACCTTGACTCATTATTATGTGTGAGGAAAAGAAATCCTAAACTCTGTGTAGACACATACTCTGTAACTTGGAATCAGAATCATCCTGACCAATTCATCTCATCATTTCACAAACTTACCCCAAAGTCCCCTTGAAGTGGTGGCAGAAAAATCCCATTGAAGGCACACCGAGAGTAAGGGCAGTAACTGGTGTTGAAGAGCTGTAGGATACTTTGATGGCATTGCTGATAGTTTCCAACACCATGGATGTGAAACTCATGGAATGGAAGAGTCTTCTCAAATCTCTTGGTACAGGGAGTCTTGTAAAGGTCACTCACATTTACCACCCTTTCATATCCAAGGTGGAAGCATGGGTCTTTGAGGACTCCGTTACTTGTATCCTAAAAGGAAAAATCATGTGAAGGCATCAAAAGTGGATGTTTTTGGTACATACAAAAGAAACAATCTGACTTCAACAATGCATAGACATTCTACAACACTCCAGCACTTAGCTCTGGCATCAATATGTCCTTATCCTGTCCTTTTCACTCACAAGAACAAATTAAAAAATAAATGTGTGTAATAGACACCAGAAGTAGTTTCAGATAGAAATGTATTTGTCAATTCACTGAGTGTTAATGTAGTAAAAACTGGGGTAGGAATGACATTAGCCTGGAATGCTTTTTGTGTTTGGTCCTAACCACACAGGGCAGAAGTAGATTCACAAGGGAAACTTTCTAGGCTCCCAAAATATTTTTGATCTTCTACCTACAGCACTCTTCTCTCCTCAAAGAGAATGAGAAGCTCCAAGAACTAGAAGGGATCCTGTGGCATTTAAGCCAGCAGTATCAAAATGCTGTACTGGGATTTTGGTGCAGTTATTTTATTTCTAAAACTGAGCTTCACATCTAACGCTTGTACATTTTTAAGGGATATAATGCAACATTTCAGTAAATACTCAAGTTTAACCCTACCATACCAGGCAATCATCCTTTCCATTCCCTTTTCTTTTTTTATATAGAAATAGATACCAGTACTTTGTGCTCATTGTAGCACCATTTACAACAGCCAAGATGTGTAGTCGACTTAAATGTCCATTAGTGGATGAATGCACAAAGAAAATGTGGTGTATATATACAGTGGAATATTATTCTGTCATAAAAATGATACCCTGACTTCTGAAGCAAAATATCTAGAGATCATATATTATGTTAAATAAGTCAGATATAGCAAAATATCACTTGGCCTCTTTTATATATGTGTATGAATGAGTATGTATGTGTAGGTTTATATGTGTGTGCGTGTGATCCAAATTTGAAAGATTACTGCAGGATAGGAAGGATGTAGGGGATGGGGAGGGAGCAATTGTGCCAAAACGCAGTCGTGAAAATAATGGGTTCTGTTTGGCAGTGCAGCTGGGTAACTATGGCTCACCCTGACATATCATAATATGTCTCAAGGTTTTTATTTCACAGCTTTCGAGAGAGGAAAGGGAACTGCTATGGGTAAGAAGCTTAGTGGAGCTTTGAGGCTCAGTGGGCTTCTCCCTGCAGCCCCTATTCCCATTGAGGTTCTCTTACTGAGTGTACTTCTCAGAACCACAGGGTACTTGGAGAAAGCAGAGAACTGGTTGTGCTCTCAGTGGCAACAGAGAACAGCTGCATGTGACATCCTTGTTCTGGTTGTCAGGGTGTGTCTAGTACTCACATGACATTTAGTATGTTTAACTTTTCATGCCTTTGAAAAAATGCAGAAAGCATCTGGGAACAAGATTTGAAATGGTGATAAATTCTGTTTACTCTCTGAAGTGCCTTTTTATCTTGCTTTCTAGGTCAATTTTAACAACCTATTTTTTGTATTGTGTAGAAAAAGGAGATTAAAAGTAAGCTAGACAGGCTTCTAAATTGTAGCACATGTATCCACATATACTCTAGCATGTAAATTTTATTATCAGATTCACAGGGGTGAGAAATTAATTTTTTTAAAGATTTATTTTATTTTTATTGGAAAGGCAGATATACAGAGAGGAGAGACAGAGAGGAAGATCTTCCGTCCAATGATTCACTCCCCAAGTGAGCACAACGGCTGACGCTATGCCGATCCGAAGCCAGGAGCCTCTTCCAGGTCTCCCACGTGGGTGCAGGATCCCAAAGCTTTGGGCCGTCCTCAACTGCTTTCCCAGGCCATAGGCAGAGAGCTGGATGGGAAGCGGAGCTGATGGGATTAGAACCGGTGCCCATATGGGATCCTGGGGCGTGCAAGGGGAGGACCTTAATCACTTGCGCCATCGCGCCGGGCCCAAGAAATTAATTCTTAAGAGATGAACTGAGTGGTATCCTTGGAGATAATACAGCAAACAAACAAAGGAGGGGATGTGTTTGGATGGAATCATTCACAGGGGTTGACCAGATGTAGTTTGATAGTCTGACTGAAAACGTTTGGAAAATACAATAATCAACTTCAGACCAATTACCAAATTAGAAAGAGAAAACAACAGGATGTGGGGGCTGGAAGCCCAGATGTGGGAAAGGCAGGTCTGGATTCAGTTATACTTGCCTCGATGTCCTTGGCCAGTTTCTGCCAGAGTGCTTGATCCTTCCCATAGCACAAGAAGCTGTGTGTATATATAGTATAATCCTGGCCATAGAGGCGAAACTGCAAAGAGTTGTCTGGGGACTCGACAGGTTCCATTTTGGGGGGCACAAAAGTGATCTGTGTAGAGGCTCCCCCAAGGTCCAAAGCTCCATAGGTTTCTTGTTGATAGCTTCCCTGTGCAAACAGGCCGTACCAATTTGATTTCTGAAAGAGAGCACAGTCACCAGTGCTAGCAGTTTCTTGACATCCTGCTTTCAATACTATTTCTTGGACTCAGGAACTTCCTAAAGCAAAGAAGCAGGGGCATAAATGTGAGACAAGCTTACTGGAGGTTTCTGAGTCTGCATAACCTCAGCAGCAAGAAAAAAGGCTTCAAAGAGAGCTCAGAAGGCAGCAGCATAACTAATGTGTCTAGTAGTGCCACGCAGTATCTCGTCTCATGCCAGACAGACACAAATTAACTATCATCTGGGAGTCTAAAATAGAAATAACAATACAACCTCATACTGTTGTTCTGAGGAGGAAGTCAAACAGCATAGGAAAAGTGCTTGGAATAGCACAAGACACACAAGAGTACCAGTCAAATATGAGCAATTTTTATTCTGTAATGATAAAACTTGACATTCATCTATGTGCCCTTAAAGCATATTTATATCTTCCTGTCCTCATAGTATTAAGTTCCCATAAAAAGAATTAGGCGTCTAGTGAACCCTACAAACATGGGAGTACATTCTTTCACTCAGTCATCTACCATTCATTCTAGCAAGTAGCCCAAGTCCTCCCTAAGATACTCAGTGGCATTGTCCCATAAGAAGCTAATTCCAAGGGTGCTATGAGTTATTCACCTTAATGAATTTTTCCATAAGATAATTGATAGTAATCCAGCCATAAGCACCTTCCTCTTGGCCAGTGATGATCCGGGCACCCTGGAAGTCGAAAGGGTAGCTGCTGAGGGTTGTCGATATCACATCCAGGATCTTATCTGCAATAGCTTCATTTTCCATCCTACACAAAGGAAGAGCTGAAGCTATTATTTTTGTTTGCATAATTGTACCCACTTCAGCTAGAATGTCTACTCAATGAAAGGAGCTTAAGCAACACACTAGAATAAGCAGAGAGGTGGGGCTCCTGTATGTGGCTGTCAGAGGAACACTCCTTTTAGATGAGGCACAGGCAATACTTTGACACATACCTCTCTTTCAGAATCCAAATATTTCTGATCCTTATGTAGATTGGTTTTCATAAAACACCATTTTTACTCTGTTTTCTTGCTCAAATGACAACAGTTCAAAAAATTACTTTGGTGGTGCTAATAACCAGTATTATTTTATCACCACTCCCAGCAGCGATGTGTGCCATATTAGACATTATTAGTGACTCCTAAATGACTGAACAGCTCTCTGGAGCTTTCTTATGGGGGCTCTGATAGAAATAAAGTAGCAAATGACCTCATGCTGGTACTCAACCTTCTCTGCTGCCAGATTCGAGAAATCCTGATATTACACCCTGATTCTTGGTTCTGTTTTAGGCCTTACGACCTAAAGAATGAGTCTTTCAGGATTGTGATAATATGGAATGAAGCTGACTTCCAAAATCTAGGCTATACAACACTGAGGGCTTCGGGATGACAGGATGCTACTTAAAACTTCATCAGAACCCTGTAACCTCTTGTCTAATTGTCTTCCATACTTGTTGCCTGCCTTTGTTTTAGCTTTAGCTTTCCTCCCTCAGTTCACTACAGTACCACCAGTTGTGTAATACACTTTAATGGCTTCTGCACTAGCTTCTAGCCAACCCCCAAATTCCTAGCAAGGCCATAATGTACTTTTGATCTGAACCCAGTCTTCCTAGAATCCCACACAGGATGCTGGCTCTGCCACTTAATAGGAATGTGACTTTAGGCCTGTTAATAATATGTAAGTTACAGATTTCTTATCTGGTTAATAACAGTCAGTAAATTTTTTTTTCACAGAGTTGTGTGATGATTAAACAGCTGCTTGGAATAGTGCCAAGAGCGAAGCAAGGACTGAATGATTATGAGCTGTTACTGTTGCTATGATTTTATAAAGTGCACTATTTTCTTCTATATATGTAGAACTACTTACAGTCCTTGAATATGCCCTGGTCTTTTATGCCTCCCTGATTTTGGACATTCATTAGAATGCAAGTTCCATGAAGGAAGGGACATTGTACTCTCATAGCTGTCACTACAGTACTTAAAATAGTTTGATGACACATAGTAGATGAAGAAGTGTTGGTTGTTGGATGCATTCTATCTTCTCTGCCTGTAATGCCCTCTGCCAACGCCCAACTTAGCCTCTGTGATTAGCTTATGTACTCTCCCCTCTGATAAGTTTTCAGCTCTCCTTTCATTCTAGGAAGTTCTAAATATGAGCTTTCCTCTAATGAAGATTTAATCAGGGCATGCATTTGGAAAAGTAGTTGCCATTTGATACACTTGTGTCCCGTAACAAAGTGCCTGGGTCAAGTCCTGGTCCTGGTGACAGTTCAAGTGTTTGAGTCCTAGAAATCCACATGGAAGTTCCTAACTGAATTCCAGACTCCAAACCTCAGACTGACCTAGCTCTGGCTGTTGTAGGCATTGGGGAATGAATAAGCAGATGAATCTCTTTTTGTCTCTCTTTGTCTCTTTGTCTCTCTGCCTTTCAAATAAAATTAAAATTAATAAATAACAATTTAAAAAACAAAGCTGATGCAAGATGATCACCTTGTATAGAAAATCTCATTTCCTTAAAGGACAAATCATCTGCTTCTAAGTCAAAGAGTAGGCACTCATTACACACTGAATGAATAGAAGGATGAACAAGAGACATAGCGCACATCAGGCATCCGTAAACATGTGCTCCTTGTGGTTCTTTGTCTTGAGATTTCTGCTGAGTGTCTTCAGTTCCTCCTTCTCTCAAGATGTTGATTGCTCAATCTGTAGCCCCAGATTTCAGTGTATGTATTTTCAGTCATCCTTGCCTGAGGCTTGTTCCCCATTGAATTCCTCATAGGAAGATAGACAAGAGCTCTTTTGTTTTCACTTGCAATCACATCATTTTACATAATAAAGGTTGGGGAGTTTTACTTGCCCATTGAAATTTTCTTTCCTAGATAGGGACTTTGGGATGTGTAGAAGTTGGGGTGTTATAGGAAATCTTTTAAAGATTTATTTTTATTATTTTTCTTATTGGAAAGGCAGATGTACAGAGAGGAGAGACAGAGAGGAAGATCTTCCATCCGAGGAAATCTGTCCCTCGCCCATTGCTTCAGAGGCTCTGGAGCCGCTTAACTTCCGGCCACTCTTCAGCCCTATATGCTGTTGTACCTGAGCAACCGCATGCCTGCTGTAGCTCCCAGGTAAACAGGTGTCTCTGGGTGCTGGGATGATGGAATCACTTCCTTGGCTCTTTCCATGCATTCAGACAGGTAATTTTCTATTTCATCTAATTTATGGGCATATTTTGAGATTCCAGGACCTAGGGAAAGAGATAGAAAATACTGATGATCTTTAAAAAATTTACTTTGCCAATGTTAAAACAAAGTATGGTGCTTTCTGAGATAACACAAGAAAGCAGTTTCCTGATATGATATATATTGGGTTTTCATACTAAAAAGTAACTCATTGGCCCTAACTTGGGTGCAGCTTAATTTTCTAACCTCATGATGCATCTGTCCAATGTTTAACAGGTTTGCCACTGGATGGCGCAATTTCATTTTCAGTTGCACAGCATTCTCGTTTTTAAAGGGGGATCTCACACATGGCATCTTAAAAAAGTTCATGCAAAATGTGTTATGAAAAAAACTCATAATTACTGTACCACAGTGAAAGCCTTTAGATGCTTCTGATGTTTCGTTACAAAGTTGTAATTAAAAATACAATTTCTTAGATGACCTAACATGACATTTCAAACAAAAAATAAGCACCAGACACATTAACTTGTTGAAAAGACAGATCATCATTAAATAGCTATGTGATCCTGACCAGTTCCCTAAAGCCTTTGAAATACAGAAGTTAAAAGGAACTTCTTTTGTTTCTTCTTCCTTTGTTAAAAGAAACAGTAATAAAATCTATGTTCCCTCAGTGACTTTTCCACTCCAATACTATTCATCCTAGTAAAACTGTTTTTGCAGTTTTAGAGCAAAACTAACTGTTGCTATGGAGAGCACTGGAGCCAAGATTACCTAAGTTTTTGGAGGTTAACATTCAACATTTTCATCTCACATTTAAGTAAATATCACACTGTCAGGATTTTACAGCAAGTACTTGCGCTAAAGAAAACTATGTAAATAAATTATCCACGTCATTCAGAGGTTTCATTGACCATCATGAAAAAAATTAATTCCTGAGTTTCAGTTAAAAATTTTTGGCTTTAAGTATTTGATTAACTAGACAATTCTTTTCAAAGTGGAATATTGTACATTTGTTAAGCCAAATACTAAAGAGATGAGTCTCAGAAGAAAGACATCTGCTGATTTAAAAAAAAACAAACTTTTAAAAATAGAAGGCAGTGGAATAAATATAAAGGGTATGCAGGAACTCCCAAAAGTTCATGGAAAAATAAAATTAATAATGATATAAATTTCCATGAATATTTTTAAGCTCCCTTGTAAAACCAATAAAAGCAGGAATTTGGACTTTAGTATAGTGGTTAAATCAGTACCTGTTAGCTGAATGCTTGGGTTCTAAATCTGGCTCCACTCTAATTCTAGCTTCCTGCAAATGCATACCCTGGTATGGCAGGTGATGGCTGAGGTAGTCACATCTCTGCAATCCACATGGGAGACCCAGATTGAGTCCCTGGCTCCTGATTTCAGCCTGGCACAGCCTTGGCTGTTGTGGACATTCAGTAGAATGAACCAGGGGATGGGAGATATGTCTGTCTCTCTGCCTTTTAAAGAAATAAATAAAATTTTAAATACCAGAATATGGTCTCAGTATTAATGGAACCAAAGTATCAGGATATTAGGCTACTGGGTAAAATGCTTGCTTTCTATTACTTTCTTGACAAACCACAAAAATTAGTGGACTAAAACAGGTCCCTGAATTAAAAGTCAGTTGTCTTCTGGGACCTTGGCTGCCTGTCTGAATAAAAATTAAAAGTGGGTTCCTACCTTAAAGTGCCAAAAGAGGAGTGGCATTTAGTCTGGCAGTTAGGTTGTCCACGTCCCACATCTCATACCTAGATTTGGTTCCAGTTCCGACTCTTGACTCCAGCTTCCCACCAATACACACTCTGAGGAAGCAGCAGTGACTACAGTAATTTCATTTCTGTCATGCAAATGAAAGGCTTGGATTGCAGCTACCTCCAGCCCTGGTCTAGCCCCATCCATTGTAGGTATTTGAGGAGTCAATCAGCAAATGGGAACTCTGCCTCTCTCTCTCTCTTGCTCCGCCCACCCCACTTTTCTCCTTCTCTTTTTCTCTCTGTTTCAAAAAACTCAAAAAAGAAAAAAAAGAACCATAAGAGATTAAGGTCAAAGAGATTATGGTGCCACGTGGCAATGTCTGGTACTTGGGTGCTAGATGGGGGAGTGTAAGAAAGCTTGAACTGTCAACAACTCCAACTTGCATTGTCATCTCGAAAGAAAACTAATTAGAAAGAAAATGTATAATGCTTCAAGGCAGCAAAAGGCCTACAGTGCAGTTAGGACTAGATTCCTCTTTGGGTTCTTGTTCTCTGCTATTTCAAACACTAATTCTACAAGATTTCATTTCTTTCTTGGTGAAACAAGATTTAACTGGTACACAGGACTTTTTTTTTTAACCCTAATAGTTTATAATTTGTTTTTTCCTGTATACACGGAGGATAAAGACCTTCAAAATGTTCTTCCCAGCCACAGAGAAGAGTGCAGAGATTAAGAGAGAAGAGATGCCATCGATCAGCTGCCATAGCATCACTTGTGCACTTGCTGGAAATGTACTTTCTCAGGCCTTGTCCTACATCTACAGACTTAGAAATTGGAGAGGGACACAGCATGAGCAAACCATACAAGTAGTTCTGACAGTGTCATGCTGGAGAACTACTGGGATATGGGTTTGAAATAAGGTATACCTTGCTTTGAACCCCAGCCCCCTCATTTATTTAGCTGAAGTTTCCTCAGACAAGTGACATAACCTCTCTCAGTCTTGGTGTCTTCATATTTAAAAACTGGGAACAACAGAGTTGGCATGGTGTTACACTATCATTTATGACATCAATATCTCTATGGGAGTGTCAGCTCAAGTTCTAGGTGCTCTGCTGCCAATCCAGGTACCTGCTAATGTGCCTAGAAAAGTGACAGATGATGGCACAAGTAACTAAGCCCCTACCACCCACATGGGTCAGGGCTCCTGGCTTCATTTGATCCAGGTCCCAGTCCTTGTAGCCATTTGGGGAGTGAATCAGTAGGGAGAAGAACTCATATTTCTTTTTTTTTTAAGATGTATTTATTCTTTATTAGAAAGTCAGATATACAGAGAGGAGGCGAGACAGAGAGGAAGATCTTTTACTCCTCAAGTGGCCACAATGGCCGGTGCTGCGCCGATCCAAAGCTGGGAACCAGGAACCTCTTCCGAGTCTCCCACACGGGTGCAGGGTCCCAAAGCTTTGGGCCATCCTCAACTACTTTCCCAGGCCACAAGCAGGGAGCTGAATGGGAAGTGGAGCTGCCGGGATTAGAACCAGCACCCTTTTGGGATCCCGGCACATTCAAGGCGAGGACTTTAGCTGCTAGGCCATGCCACCGGGCTCAGAACTTACATTTCTTTTTCTCTCTTTCCATTCCAAACACATTTTTAAACCTCTCTTTTAAAGATTTATTTTTATTATTTTTTTATTGGAAAGGCGGATATACAGAGAGGAGATACAGAGAGGAAGATCTTCCATCCGATGATTCACTCCCCAAGTGAGCCGCAACGGGTCGATACTATGCCGATCCGAAGCCAGGAGCCTCTTCTGGGTCTCCCACGCGGGTGCAGGGTCCCAAAGCTTTGGGCCGTCCTCAACTGCCTTCCCAGGCCACAGGCAGGGAGCTGGAAGGGAAGCGGGGCTGCCGGGATTAGAACCGGCGCCCATATGGGATCCCGGGCGTGCAAGGCGAGGACTTAACCACTTGCGCCACCGCGCCGGGCCCTAAACCTCTCTTTTAAAAAAAATAAATAATTCCTACCTCGAAGGGAGACTTTGAGAATTAAAATCATAAAGTTCAGTCATAATGCATGAGATACAAAAGTGTCCTGGTAATGGGAGCTACTATTACTCAGTTTAAATGTGCTTATTTCAATATTACTTTTTGTAATGATAACCAAGTAATAACAACAGCTCCACTGTTCTTGGCTTCCCACACTGGGGCCTCCTTTTCCTCTTGTGTTCTACCTGCTACATACCTCTCATGTTCTTGTGTCCCAGCATCTCCCTTCATTTTTTATTCATCTTACCTTGTATCTTGCATTCTTCTATTTGATGCACCACCCCTGTGTCATTCATCTTTTCAGCTGGCCACTTATATATATACATGCTTGTGTGAGAAGAGCCTGCATCCAGCACAATCCCATACTGAGGACGAAACAAAAAGTGTTATCAGTATAGCATCATTCTTCCCTATATTTAGCTTCCAAAGCTCCCAATAAGAAGGTGACAAGGACAGTTTTCAAAAACAAAAGGAGGAAGTATTTTAATTTTGAGAGGAGCGATAGACAGGGATGAGAAGAGTTACCCTAACCATAAGATCTGTCATGACCCAATTTCTCTAGAACAGCGCTCTTAACACATAGAAACACTCAGGCCTTGCCTGGGGTGGGGCCCCAGTAGCAGTATTACTGAGCAGCTTGCTAGATGATTCTAATGTGCAACTAAGATTCAGAACCACATGCTCAGGTAGCTAAGACAGCATAGAAGGAAGCCATTGAAATTGTCTACACACTGGAATCACGTGGGAGTTCCAATAGTTGTGAATGATGTGCCCCCTACCCCCACGCACAATAGTGTATTGGAATTTATTTGATTTGATATATAGTCTGGGCTTTGGAATTTTACATGATCCTGTGTGCTTTTAATGTACAAGTTTGGGAACCATGGGGTTAACTCACTGAGAGGCACACAGATAGAATATATATCTTAATCTAAATTTACTTCAGTAAATATGGAGTTTGTTTTAAAGATATAGAAAATACTAAGATCACTAGTTTTTATGTTATGAATATAAATAAAATTTTAATCAACACATTTTAATATGTCATTAAACTTCATGATTTTAGCTCTACAAAGGAGAGAGAAAGAAACAAGGAGAAGGAAAACACACAGCATGAAGAAATGCTGATCAGAAGAGAAAGGGAAAAGACCACAGGCACACATCCTATTCCCAAGCACATGAGGCTGCAGGAAGCATTTGTCTTGATTTATCTGACTTAGCTTTCAGAACGGTACTATAAAGTAGTGCTATTTTTAATCCCTTAAATATAGCTTGCCCAGCACAGAAGCCTAGTAGCTAAAATCCTCGCCTTGCATGCACCAGGATCCCATATGGGTGCCGGTTCATACCTGGCTGCTCTACTTCCCTTCCAGCTGCCTGCTTGTGGTCTGTTAAGGTAGTAGAAGATAGCCCAAAGCCTTGGGACCATGCACCCACATGGGAGACCCAGAAAAATAAATCTTAAAAAAAAAAGCTGCATTTTTCAGTGCCACATGGGTCATGCAGTAACATCAATTTTAACAAGAAGGTTTTTTTATTTTCTTTTTCATCAAACTTTAGCGATGCATTGGTAATTCTATAGAACATTAACTTCATATTAGTGAAGATTTTCGGATTTTCTCCCTGCTGTGGACTGTGTTTTCTGGCTCTGCGGTTAAGGGGATATATAACAGAAGTGTAGCAGAGACTGATTTTTCCAGATGTGGAGACATAATGCAATATGTCTCTCTGCATCCAGACCAGACATGGGCTCCCAGTGAAACAGTTGAAAATATTCTGACAGTAGGATGTTATACTCCCCAGGATTGTGCATGCCTACAATGTCAGGAAACACTTCAATAACAGAATGATGGACTTATGACTGTACATGACACACAAGCAACTGAAGGTAACCATAAATTTATTAGTAATCTTTAAGAAATTCTAACGTCTTTAGCTGAGATTGAAAGAACAAGGAACAGAAGCTAATTCATTTCAATTTTACTGTAAACAAAAAATATTGTCAGCAGGAGTATTTTTTTTTTTAAGACCTTACTGGAGAGTCAGATATACAGAGAGAAGGAGAGACAGAGAGGAAGATCTTCCATCTGCTGATTCACTGCCCAAGAGGCTGCAACAGCCAGAACTGAGCCAATCCAAAGCCAGGAGCCTCTTCAGGGTCTCCCAAGCAGATGCAGGGTCCCAAGGCTTTGGGTCATGCTTGACTGCTTTCCCAGGCCACAAGCAGGGAGCTGAATGGAAAGAGGAGCTGCCGAAATTAGAACCAGCGCCCATATGGGATTCCAGTGTGTTCAAGGCAAGGTCTTTAGCCGTTAGGCCATGCCGCTGGGCCCTAAAAATAAATCTTAACAACAACAAGAGCAAAAAGGCAGAGTGACACAGAAAGGGAGAGACAGAGATTTCCTATCCACTGGTTCACTCTTCAAGTGACTACAGCAGCCAAGGTGGAACCAAGCAGAACCCAGGACCTAGGCACTCGATCTAGGTCTCCCATGTGGGGGATAGGGACTCAAGCACTTGGGCTTCTTCTGCTGATTTTCCAGGTGCATTATCGGGGAGCTGGACTGGAAGCAGGTCAATTAGGACTTGAGCTGGCACTCAGATTTGCGTTGCCAGTATCACAAACAGCAGCGTAACACTGAAACAAAATACTAGCCAACCATGAAATTACTCACACATACACACACGCACACACAATGTTTTTTTAAAAATACACAGAAAACACATATTATGAAAAAAAATCTATGCATGGATATCAAAACCAAAAGAATTTGTACTGTAATACCATTTTCCATGAACTTTTTGAACTGCGTATGTGTCTGTGTACCCTCATACTGTCTTGCCACAGACAGAAGAGGACCTGAATGAGGATTTAAGAAATTTCTGGAGGGCATTAGGAACGGCTGCAAATAGAGCCTGTTGAGTGAGTTTTCAACTTTTTTCCAGAACATGGAGTATCTGTATGTGGATCTTGTGAGGATCCTTGACCCTTCATAACCCCGCAGTGCACCCTGTCATGTTTGGCACAGTGGGGATTCCCACTAGCAACTAGTGCTGCACTTTCAGAAAGAAAAGGGTCTTTAGGCTTGTTTTGGACACAGCAATGAAGCAAACTGCTTGCACTATTCTGCAGCTAGACTTGCAGTGAAAGGTATCCAAGAAATGGCTTAGGTGCTGACCACTGTGAATAGAGGAAACATTGATTGAAAACTGGGCCTTTTGAACTCATGGGAAATCTATCAGGGTAGAGAAAGAAATTCGGGGATTATGCTGTAGAAAATTCTACTGTTCCCTAGCAGGGCCCCTGAATTATCCATGCCAGAAAAATGTTCCAACCAAGCAAACAGCCTTTATCTGGAATCAGGATGTTCTATTCTGTTTAATTTTGTTGACATGAAAGTCACTTTTCCAGAAGCAAAGGAACCAGTGTTGCTTCTATCAGCATGGTTCTCTGAGGACTTACACTCTCTGAGTGAGGTAGTTGAGAAATAAAATCTTTCACTCCATTTTGTTTGGCAAGTGCCTGAGCTTATTATAGGCCAGATATTTTGTTTGGCAAGAGGTAGAACATATTATAACATAGGAGCTGACATTTCACCTTGTGTGTATAGCACATTAGAATGCTAACATGTTGCCAAACATTTGTCTTCTAAAATAGTTTGCATAATAAAAACTGTCATTGCTTAATGTTTAGGAAACAGATAGAGCTGGTTTATCTGAGAGCTTTCAGCTGGAGCATTTGGGAAGTTTGCCTTTCATTGTTATAAGATCTACCCAGAAACCGAGTGGCCATCATCTTTTACTTTCTTTCAACTACCCCAGGATTTTCCAATGCACTTTTTAAAAAAATATATTTATTTATTTTTATTGAAAAGCCAGATTTACAGAGAGAAGGAGATACAGAGAAAAAGATCTTCCATCCACTGGTTCACTCCCCAAGTAGCTACAACAGCTGAAGCTGAGCTGATCTGAAGCCAGAAGCCGGAAGCTTCTTCCAGGTCTCTGATATGGGTGCAAGGTCACAAGGTCTTGGGCCATCTTCTACTTCTTTCCCAGGCCACAAGCAGGGAGCTGGAAGCAAAGTGGAGCAGCTGGGATACAAACCAGTGCCCATATGGGATCCCAGCACATGCAAGAAGACTTTAGCCACTAGGCTACTGTGCTGGGTCCTTCCAGCGCACATTCTAGAGAGCTTGAGGCCTGCAAGATCTCAGCAAACACAATTTTGCAAAGGTTTAGGGGATGCTAGTACTCTCATCTTCTCCAGGGCTCATAATCCAATTAGCTAGTGAAGCTATCAGCAAAGTCTGGTACTAGAGAAACTCAATATTTCCCTTAGCTCACATTTAAAACCCATAGAAGTATGTCCCGCATATTAAAGAAAAGAATCAAAGATTTGGGTTTCAAGAAAGAGATCACATATTGCTTTGTGATCATTTCACTCTTTCCTATATTAACAGTAATCGAAGTTTATAATATATGATCTGTAAAATAAGATATTTAAGATTCTATCTAGATATCACTGTTATTTTGAATTGTTTCCATCCCATGATTCATTCCCCAAGTGGCTGCATTGCCTGGAAATGCACTGATCTGAAGCCAGGAGCCCAGAGCCTCTTCCAGGTCTCCCACACTGGTACAGGGGCCCAAGGGTTTGGGCTGTCCTCAACTGCTTTTCCAGACCACAGCAGGGAGCTGGATGGGAAGCAGGGCCACCAGGATTAGAACCAAAACCAATATAGGATCCCAATGTGTACAAGGTGAGGACTTTAGCCACTAGATTACCACACTGAGCCCTAGATGCTCCTTTTTATAGTACATTTTATATAGTTGTGATTCTAATATGTATATAGTTCTGTTCTCAGTTTTTATTAATATTTAATATTTAAATGTTCCATATTTGTAGGGTCATATACAGTGAGATAATTTGATGCAGTAGCTGTATGCAACATGTAGTGACCAAATAAAATTAGGATAGTTACCATGTCCATCTCCTTAAACGTCTTTGTGGTGTACAGACATCTGGCACACCAGCTGAGACACCGCTTGTGACAGCAGCATCCCATACTGGAATGCTTGAGTTCTGTTTCCAGTTGTTTCTGACTCCAGCTTCCTGCCAGTGTGCCATGGGAAGCAGAAAATGATGGTTCAGGCTATTTAATGCCTCCCATGCCATATCCCACAACTTTTCAGATGCTATGCTCCCATTTTCATGTTTTAAGAAAGTTTTGTACTTCCCTTTTGGTTTCTTCAGTGACCCATTGTTCATTCAACAACATGTTGTTGTTTACTTTCCCATGTATCTGTACTATTTCTAAGGTTTTGTTGCTGATTTTTAGTTTTATCTGTTGTGATCACAAAGATA